CACCAAATAAACAGTTTAAAACTTTATGTTTAGAAAGCACAAACATCCTGACCAGGAGTTGGATGGTGAAAACTGGGTTGTGGGTGCAAATTAGCATTATCCTAAAGTCCAGTGTAATTCATGTGGAATGGGAAGTCCAGGTTCACCCTGTGTCATCCCAAAGAACCATAATTTTGCAGCAATGCAGAAACTGTTTCATTTTTTCCTCATCCAATTTGGCAAAAAAGGAATTATTGGCAGCAATTTAAATAATTCCAGAGAAATGCAAATGACTATTGACCAGAAATTATGCAAAGCATTTTCAGTTTCTCAGCATCTTTTTTAAAAAAGTCATTTAGTTTTGCTAACTTTGTCATGTAATTTTGCCATAATTTGTGGACTGACATTATGCTTGACAACCATGAGACTTTGATGGTGAAATACTGCATATAATATACATATGTACTGTATTTTTCCATCTATAACACGCCCCCATGTATAGGACACCCCCACTTTTCCTAACGATTTGCAGTGAACAAGCTGCTCCCGCACATGCCGCTTCGCCACCCCCCTGCGCGTGCGATCGTGCCAGTCTCCCCCCCCAAGCGCACCCCCTGTGTATAAGACGCACCTCCATTTTAAGCTAAATGTTTTAAAGAAAAAGTAGCATCTTATACATGGAAAAATATGGTATATGTATGTATGTACACATATATACACACAAGCATGGTTCAAGCATGGTTCAATATCTCTCCAGACTGCTGCAGATTCCTTATGTCATATTATAGTTACTTTTCAAACTCTCTAGTGCCTGTTCTTTTGTTATATTTCCCCAGTCATGTGGAAGATCTGGCAAGTCAGCATTATAGTATCTGGCAAAATCATGGCTGAATTCTTTAAATATAAATTTCCAGTAATTGGAAGCATTGATACTGGGATCTGGTTGGATGGACCACTCAGGATAGTAGTCACGATAGTCTTTATATGGATGCCATTCCCAGTTGGTATCCATACATTTGAAAGCAAGTTTGGATGTCACAGAAGAAGAACACATATCATGTAAAAGCTTTCCTGTTTGGGTATTTTTGTATCCTCTCAGCCCTTGAGGTTGATGGACTGCTGCAAAATGCTCCTTATGATCACTCCCTCCAGCTTCACAGGGGGCTTTGCAGAAGGGACACTGCTTCCCGCAGCCAAACACTCGCTTGAAGATCTCCTCCTGGGGCTTCACAGACAATTTAGATAGTTTGGATCCAATATCCAGAAGATCAAACTCAGCCAGAATTTGTTTTTGCAAATCGGGAAGTAAGTTTTTTACACGAGCAGAAAATTGGCCAAAATTGAACATATTATTGGACTGTAAGCCCATTAGACTGTCCTTGGATAAGACCAAATACTTTTGCAAACTTTGACAAAATTGGTCTACAAATTCCAAGATTGTCTTTGTCTCTTTATGTTCCAGATTTTCCAGTGTTTCCCTCATTTTTTTTAGTATTGTAGAAAGTACTTGTCTCTCCAAGTTATTCAGTTCCTCATATTTGGTATAGTAAGACAACACTTTTCTACTGATCCAGTTCTTGACAAACTCTTCATAGGCCTCAATGTATTTCACAAATTGGTTGAAATTCTTTTCTTCTAGTAAGTCCTTCAGGACAGTAAACTGGAAGAAGGTTCGACTGGCATATCCAATGGACTCTGTACTGTTGAGAATGTTATCAACTATTTCTATCCCAAGTCGCTTGTTGACATATTCCACTAGGGCAGGTTGGAGATACTGGTAACAAAAATTATTAGCTGTAATTTCTTGGGTATCTTTTTCCAGATAAAGATCCTTGAAAATAGAGATATAGTTATACTTCCATTTTTCCAGTTGTAGTTGAGGATCATTTTTCTTTATGAAGTCTTCATGCATCTTCTGAAAGATATAAGCTGCTTCTCCCAAAATGTGAAGGTTCAGGTCCACTTCAAAAGAAGGTGTACAAAGTTTTTGAACATCACTTTGCTGAAGGTTCTCATTGATAATATGCAAAAGTTCAACACAGTATGTTTCATCATAATCTCTTTTTGCATTGACTTTTTCATCAATAAATGAATTGCATTTAGCTATCAGGCAGTTAGCAAATACTTTTACATTACTCAGCTGCTCATTTTGGATTAAAATATGTTCCTTCCCATGGCCAAAGGATGGTAAATTTATATAATCATATTTCATTTGGAAGGTATGTATTCTGTAGTTTAATAAACCTTTTGCTTCTTCTAATTTTTTGTTGACTAAGCTCTCGGAAGAGGACAGCTGCTTTCTTAGATGTAACTCCATATCTGAATGTATTTTGCATGTATCTAAGTTATAAAATGGTATTTCTGACAATGTTTTTCTCCATAATCTTTCAAACTCTCTTTCAAGTTCCTTATTTTCCAATTTGCACCTTTTCTTCCTATGTTCTTCAAGAAGACTGTCGACTTTTCCTTTAATTGTTTTCAAGAATTCAGCATTTAGAGTGTCAATTTTGTGTAGCCCTTTTTTAATTCGAATGGCTTCCTGAAATTTATTAAGTGAATAATTTTCAAGTTCACACTTGAGGTTGTTAGTGCTCCTCACAAAATCTTCGCTGTACTTTTTCACCAGGTACAGATTTGCTGCTCCACATTTAAAGCATTGCTCCAAGTTCTGCAAAATCTTAATTTCTCCACATGAAAGCTTTGTTTGAAGTTGACATTTCAAATTACTGAGATCAATTTTTTCAAGAGGAAGATTCTGAATCAGAGTTTCCTGCTCAGATACCCAGAGGTGCATCTCCCTTCGGAATTCCCAATCCCACTTGGAATATTTCATTGATACATGGCTATAAGCTTCTACTATGAGATTATTGCGGAAGCTGAAGACAAATTCTTCATGTTTCACAGCATTCCATATGCTCTTTACCCATTCAATAAACTGGGGGATGTCCTTGCGAGTCCTTTTATATAAGTCACTCCTTATGAATTCAAACATATACTTCTTTAACTCAAATACTTTTTCACAGTACCCTCTGCTAACTGGAGCCATAGGAGGGACTCCATGCCACAGCCCTGGGATGTACCAATGGTGCTTTTCTAGGTCATAGTCCATAATGTCTATAAACGTGATATTTCTTTCAAATTTTTCCATTTTTGCTACAGCCTTGGCTATTTCATTGAGCTGCTCCAAAAGGTGCTTCCTGTCCCTCATATTCTGGTCATGTGCTGAGACATCACTCACATTCTGATGAACAAACAGGCAGCTCGGTTTTTGCCCAATCCTCCCCATTCTGAGGAAGGCATGGCTGACAATTTGCAGTATGTTCTTCATTTCAGTGGCATTCTCCATGGCCATGTTCACTATTGTGATGTCACTCAGTCCACTCACCAGAGTAGCCAATTCATTGTCATGCTGATAGCTGTCTTCCAATTTGGCCAGCTCAGAGGCTTTCAAACCTTCTGTATCTATCACCAGGATGAAATCACAGCCAAGGTCCTTCGACAAGTGCTCTCTCACATGAAGGAGCGTCATAAAGACACCTCGTGTACATTGACCACTGCTCACAGGATACTGCAGACCAAACATCACATTGAGCAGCGTGGATTTCCCAGTGCTCTGCATCCCTAACACAGCTATCACCATCAGTTTGGACTGACCTCCTACTTTGTTGTTGAGATCATGCAGAACATCAGTTATCCACTGCAAGGGGATGTTGAAAGCATCTCCATCCATCAGCTCCAGAGGAAACCCCTCCAGCATCAAGTCAGCTGCAATGCTTGGGAAATTATTAAATTGACTTTTAATCTGGCTCCCTTTAGTCACTGAATATTCTGCCTCATAAAATTGCCCCAGCTCACGAATGAAATGCTCAACACCCAAGGAAGAGAAAGATATTTCTCGCTCAGTGTCTGAGATACTCTGGCCACTGTACCCTAGCACTTTGCATTTTTCTTTGTATTCCTCCTGTAACCGAGAAAAATTCTCCCTAGCAATGTGATCCAGCATGTACTTCATCCATTTTAAGAAGCAGTGCTTCTCATCAAACTTCAAACATTTGATACCATTGATGAATTTAATCATATCAGTAGAGAGGCCATGTTTTTTCTGCTCTTTACGTATTTCTAATAGTTTGCCTGTCAGTTCCGACTTGTAATTTTCCAAAGGTATGTCCCCTTGTCTCTCTGTTCTGCACAGTTCTTTCTCTAGTTTTGCTAGATTTGTCCAGAGATCACCTTGCAGTATTAGCATTTCTTTCTTATAAGTTACTACATCCTTTATATCTTGTGTAATTTGCTGAGCCCACCTGAAAGCATTCTGACATTCTTGGTTGTGCTCATCTACCTGGATTTTACAGTCCCCAGTGACAGCAACCATCTCCTCTATGCTTATTCTCTTGCAAGAAGTTATTATCTTTCCAACAGTAGATCGTAACTTCTCCACAAATTCTGCTTTATTTCTTGTGGCAGCTTTTGCTAATACGTGTGATGTATTGAACTTGAGCACTGGTGCCAATTTATTTAAGAAAGTCAGTGTTTCATTGCATTCTTTACTCTCACATTCCAGAATGAAGTAGTACTGAGTTGAAGGGTCCTTCAGTGATGACAAAAAGTCATATTCCTTCTGACCTATGTGTTCAGTAAATATAAAGACAGCTGAAGAGACCTGTGTCAAAAAGCTAAATTGCACCCGGTGCAATTCAACATCTCCACGGAGATTTGCAACTGCAACTGGTTCTGGGAAAAGATCTGAGCTCTGCTGCCCTCCTGGGAAATACCAGGCCATCTCTACCAGCCCGTCAGCAATTTCACGAGGAATGGTCCCACACTCCATGTCTCGATGTTGGAAGAAATTGTGGTGCTGCTGGGAGGGGCTGAGAAACACATTGAGCAGATTGGACTTAGAAAGCTGCAGGTTCCCCATCCGCACGAAGGAGATGGTTGGCATGGATGCCGCCACCAGGCTCTCCTCCTTAAAGCCTCGGCTTTCAGCCATGGAATGGGGCCTCCATTTCTTCACAATATCCCTCATGGCCCAGAGCATCAGGGTGCAGGTGGGACTCTCCAAGGGAGGCAGCAGCAATGGCAGGGCAAACTGGCACAGGGACATCTTGGAGAGGATCTCCTGTTGGAGGAAACTGTCCGAACAAAGCAGAACAGCACAGAGGACGTCAAGGGTGTTCATAGATATATTCTCATTAGTGAAGAAAATGTTCTCACTGAAGAGCTTCCCCTCCTCTTTCTCCCTCATTTCTTGATAGTTCAGCTGTCCCTGCTCAAGGTTTGTGTTCCTGGCAGTCACATTCAGAGACAGGACCTTCCTCAGGAAATGCCAGGGCAAATCCCCCAGTTTCTGGGGGGTGGCTTCCTTTAGACTTCCAAGGTTGATTTCCAGGACTTCTCGCAAGGAGAGTTTGTTGCTTTTATGAGTCTCTAATTTTAGTTTGCACAGAACATTCTGCAGGGCTTGTCTTTTCTCTACAGAAAAATATAAGAAAACCATTATTTTGATACTGGTAGCCCACAGTTCTCTGCAGATATCACCAGTCCCTTGGAGTCCTTCCAACTAGCTCTCTGAGCCTGCTGTTCACCTCCTTCTCTCTCCCAACTTGCTCTTTCAGAATGCTTGCTCTTTTTATGTTGCATGTGAACATTAAGAATGATGGCAGCTGGGAATGGGGCACTGCAAAATCATGCATAAATTGCCTTTCCCAACTTAACAGGTCAATGAGTGAAGCTGGTCCAATAGACAATTTCACTTAGTGTGTCTTGGTCCAAATTCGAGATAAAAGTGCAGATGATTTTGCTTCAGCACAGTTGCTTCAATTCTCAGGAGGCATGCACTAACTAAAGTGTCCCTATCCTGCAAAGCTAAGGCAAAAGTCAAAAGGACAGGCTACTAGGGGACCCAGCTCCTACAAAGTGCTTGAATTGATCTTCATTGTGGCCTCCTTATAGATGTGGGGTGAGGCAGCAGCGAGGGTCTCCCCTTCAGTGTTCTGATAGCTTCCTCCATTCAAAACACTCATCAGTGAATTGGAGCGGGGGTGGCATGACACCTGAACCCTTGGGAATTTTAGCCATATGTCATGGATTCCCCTGGGCCTTTCAGATCACTGGGCACAGACACAAAGTGCGCCCCCCTCTTCCTTCTGGCCCCCACCAGTATTGCACCTCTGAGGGGCGCAGCACCTTTGCCCTACCTGCAGCTGCCATCCTCCCACCATGAGAGCTGGTGGAGGGGAATGTTCAGCTACCCCTCCTGGAGGAGGCCTGACTTACTTACCTTTTGCACGTAGCCCGTCACTCTACACACACAAAAACATAATGGTCGCCGTCAGCAGTAAGCACTCAGCGCGTGACCACACAACCGATCCTGCGCCCTCACAAGCAGTGCTGGCACTCACGCAGCCCGCAGGTGCTATTTTAATGCTGTTTGCTGCCGACCTGCTACGCCCGACAGGGCAATTCACAATCACATGGAAAAATCTGTCAAAAAAAGGTGCCGGAACGTTGTTCCGGTGCGTTCTATGACAAAAAAAGCCCTGAAACAAAGTATTGGTAAAGACATCCAAGAACAGATTTGCACACTCCATCTAGCCTTCTTACCCCTCACTCTGTCCAGTGAAATTGTTCACATTCAAATGGGCTCCTTTTCCACAGCATCCTGACATCATGCCTGCAAAAGTGGGCCAGCCACCACACTAAGCAAACCAAAGCGGATGGCACAGGAGAAACGAAGGACAACAGAAACACAGTTTTACCTGTTGCCTCAGGAAGCCTTTGGGAAGGTTTAGTGCATTGATCAGCAAGACCTGTAAAGGGGGGGAAGAAAACGAAGTCTATTGCAACAAGTTGGGCAAGTCTGGAGTCAAGCCACTTACCCCACATCTTGTTTCTGATGTGATGATTCTAGCAAAACGCTGATGCGAAGGGTTTGAGGCATGTCCTGACATGGTCATGCTCCATGTCCTCTCCCAGGTTTTCCAACCATTTGCAGTACATTTTTTTTAAGAGTGAAGAAAGTCTAGCATTTCCCCAAATGACACCATAAATCACTACAGACGCCTCCTGTATTTTTGCAGCTCTACTCTGTGCCACCCACCACCTTGTGTTGTATAATGGACCATATAGGGACGTAGAGAAAGGCAGAGAGAAAACCCCTCAGAAGGCAAAAGAAAAAAAACTTGCATGAAGGACTCTCTAATCTTCCTGTAAAGAAAGTGGAAGACGCCTCTATAAAGCACTGGGTTATATGCTTCATACAGACTAGCCGTAAATCTCTCTGAAGCTCATCAGAAATAACCACATATGAACCATGTCCTGTGGGAGAAAGTGCGTGCTGGTGGACTTTATTACTGTTATTCACCATACACAAAACACCTACCGTTCTTTTAGTATGCAATTCTATGCATGTTTAGACAGAAAAAGAATCTACAACACCCATGCTGGCTGGGCATGCTAGGAGTTGTAGGCCTTTTTGCTTCTCAGCATGCCTAGGGTTGTGCCCTTCATGCCATTTGCAGATTGGAAGCAAGACTACATCGATGGCGACACTCTCTTTAGGTGCTGGAATGCCCCTTTCCTTACCCATCTTGGTGAGCCTGTTTGCCTGGCGCCTAAGGTTGATGGCTTCCAGCACGTTAACAGTCAGCTCCACCGCATACGCCTCGTCGTAGTAGTTGAGCAGCAGATCAGTGAGGCCTAAGACATCTGCCTTCTCCAGCTGCCCTTTGGGGATGTTTTCGAAGCCCCCCTTCACTGGGAATTCATTGAGTTTGCCCTTGAACTTCTTCAGATCATAATCTTGCAATTCCTCCAGGTTCTTCCATAGGTGGTCGCGGATGGTCTTCGTTGCTTTGACTGGTGCTGCTAGTAATAGTAATAGGGAAGATGATGAAGTGTGGCTTCCAAAAAGCATGTCATGGTCTTGATTGTGCCCCTGCCCCCCAGTCAGGAAGATGTCTGTGAAGCTTGATAGCACCCACAAAACTTGGTCGATACCAAATGAAAATATTGAAAGAACTGGTAGGAGCACTGGGGTCATCTCCCTGGATCAACGCCACTTGTACTAACTCAGAATCCACTGAAAAAGAAATAACAACTTTCCCCATGTTCAGACAGGCAATTTGAAAAACCTATTCGTCATCTTTCAACTAGTATTATTACATTCTAGGATTTTGTTAAACCTGGCTAAAATGTTCAGATCTTGAGTTACTACTATGAATTATAAAGCACCCCAGTTCTGAAAATGCAGAGTAAAGTCTAATGTGGGGTTAAGCAACCATGGGCACTGTGGGTACATTTGGCAATTTGAGAAACTGCCTGAGGCACCATCACAAAATGGGTGACATGCCCAAATGACTGAGCTGCCACACATGGCAATTACTCCTGTAAACTCTGTCTTCAGCAACAACATGAACCTACTTCACAGCAAACACAGCTGCCAACCAGTTATCTTATTTATTTTTCAAGTGAGAGACCACTTATGGATACCAAGAAAAATATGTGGGAAAAATTAGACCCATGGGTACCTCTGGCCTAACTCATCTGAATAAGGGATAGGATTTCAACTTGTCAAGGGTTTTGAGATGTCATCTCTCCTGAATAGTACAGTGGATTCATGTACAAAAACAGCATCTCAAGTGATCATTTTCTGGTACCTTTTTCTTTAATTGCTGGGACAGAAGTAGGGTGCTCTTTCTGAATCAACAGTTCCTCTAGAACAGAAACAAAAGAAAAATGGGTTGAGCCATTTCTCCCCAAACTCTCCTGCTCTCCTCTCCTGCTTCTGTCCTTAAAGGAAGGGCAATCGGATTTCTGAGTTTTAAATATCAGTTGTGAGGGGAAAAATAATTCTGTCTAACTCACACTGGTTGAAGACTTAAGGTGCCATGTAGAGATGGGAGTCTCAGTTTCCACCACCTCCTGGATTTCAGATCACAGGTGTTTTATTCCTTGTGAACACCTCTATTGCTGTATCTTAAAAATATCACAACAGTTGCTCTAAAAATGCAACACTTTATTTGCACATGAATCTCAAATATAACCAGACTGAATATATCCAATATATCCAATCTTCTCCCGTACTGCATGTCTAGCCTAGTTAAGGTGTTTTCACATGATATCATGATTCTGCAGCAGGGGCAAAACACTCCATCAGCCCAGCCTGCAGTACGACAGATGCCATTAAAGGGAAAAAGTCTGTGGCTCGGCATTTCCTGAGTGAGATTATCCCTAATTTTACAGACCACAGGGCCAAACTGCAGGTCCAGCAAGAGAATCCCTTGTCAGCACCTGTGTGGAAGAAGAGGACTCACATTGAGCTAAAGACACTTCAGTCACCTTGTGGGGTTTTCTGGTAACCATACCCCGGACACTCGGAGGGTTTCTCTCCAGACTTCAGAAAAGTCTCTAAGCTTTCAGCATGCAGCTCATCACTACTTGCTGTAGGCCATACTTTTCCCCCAGCATGGCTTAACATTCTGCTGCTGCTGAAAACTCTCCTGTACTGAAGGTCTCATTTCAGGCTAGAATTGATAAGCTTTCTATTAACTGCAGTTTGGACCTGTACTCTGCAAAATCAGGGATGATCTTGGAGTCAATCAATCCTGTGCCACTGGACTTCTTGCTTCTGTGGGGTCTCCCCTGTTGGGGGCTGGGCTGATGGAGAATTTTGCACCTCCCACAGGTGGTGTCATGGAAACATTTTCACAGATGCTGTTGCGTTTGCTTGTTTGCTTTTCATATTGATGCAACGACACAGGTTTGAGCAGGCACTGTACTGGCATACCCAAATTCTTTTGCCAGTGTTCCTCAGCATGGATTTCCCCTTCGTTGCACATATGAAAATGACTGTGGAACATAATATCGACCACTGGAGTAATAAATGTGTGTTTTGTCCAGGGTGGCAGATGCCTGCTTAATAAAAGATTACCCTATCATAGGGGCAGAGTTCACAATTGCATTATTGGGCAATAAGAGCTATTTTTCTCTCCTGCAAAATAAAAGAGACTACTGCCTATATGCTTTCCCCCACTTAAATGAAAAATAGAAGCAAAAGCAGGGAAGCATGCTCTTTCTAATTCAGATTGTGTTTTGTTCAAAAAAAATACTAATAGCAACTTGTGAACTGATTTTCCTGTTAGGCAATAAGTAAAATGGAATCTGCAGGTCCAGCCAGAAGCCAGATAGTGTCTTTAACTCTAGTTTACATATATGGGGGTTTCATCATGACTTGCAATCCAAGATCACCTGTCCAGAGCAAAATTCACTCCAGATGACCACACAAGAAAACCTTTGTAAATTTGTAGAGAGCTAGAAGCTTTTGAGCTCTTCTTTGCAAAGCTGCCTTGTATCTGCCAATAAAAAGTATTCCATCTGGGAGTATATACCTGGTTCCAGCCAAGCATCCCAGACTGAGCAAAGATTTTCCTTCTTTCTCAGGCTGAGTTCTATTCGCCCCTCTTTTCCAACACAGATTTCCACAAAAGACTGCAATTGTCCTGGGTTCTGGTAGGAAAATTCCAGTTCCTGGTGAAGAAATACGATGAGATAGAGAGATGAGGAATCTAAGTCAAAGAAGCACCAATGGACATTTCATGCTTTACCTATTTGAAGAACTAATTTTATGCTGCCGTTCGATACCAATACTTTCAAGGCAGCTTACAAATAAAGCAATACAAAGTGAAATACATTATGAGATGACAGTGATCTTTGTTTAAAAATCACCACCAACTGCAAATAAATGCAGGATTAAGGAGCACAGATAAACTTTAAATGCCTGAGAAATAAATCTGGTGCTGAAAACAAATCCGAGTAGATGGCAGGCACTCCATCACTGAAGAAAAGATTATCCTTCAGGTAGAGAAATCTTAAGATGGGTAATTATCCACCAGGGATCTCTGAGTTCAGTGGGGCTTACTTCCAGGACAGTGTGTACATGTTTGAGCCTAAATGTTCCAAGTCAATATTTATCAAATGCATATGCAGAGATTTCCTTCTTTTCTGTAATTTTTTTCTGCTAGCCATGAGGCAAACAGTAATGCAAAACCATGAACTGCCAGGCTCCACATCATTTCTGTGCTAGGTCTGGATGACCATCAGGACCGTCAAAAGGGCTGCAAAGATAATTCATTCTAGCATGGTATGGTATGTGAGATCATGCATCTACCAACCTCTGGGTTTATCTTCAGATCTGTTGAGCTGCGTACAACATAGTGAGACCCAAAGTACAAAGGTTCATCTGTTTGTGGGCGTTTTTGCACCAGCATCGAGTGGTGCTTTTCCTCCTCGTCTTTGATGGCCTGTTTAGGGAAAACAGAGCATTTTTGACTAAAGCACAAATGGAAAAAGCTACATGAGGCAAACTATTCTGCAGAGAATGTTGGATGGAAGCACTTCTGCAAGGGTTTTGCTCTCCTTGCAGAGCAGGATTGTAGCTTACAGTTGTACCCTTGGGTTACTATAGCAGTTTGATAGGATAATTGCATACGTTTAATTTTATTGCAAGGATTTCCTCATGTTCAGTCCAGGTTGCAGAAAAACCAAAGGCTATCCTGCATCACACTGGGAAACAAACTTGAATCAACTGTCTAAAAGCTCAGTGCTGACAATCTCATCTGAGTAACTGAAACACTGAGAAATAAATACTATTTCTCCACATTCATAGAATTCCTATGGAACTCTCAGGATTGTCACCTTTCAGTCAGTGGTCAGGATCCAGCTGGGTAGTTTTGCCCCTGCTGATTCTTTTCCTCCCCATCAATTGCCTTCTGCAAGAGGCGGGTCCCACTGATTCTGCTGTGCAAGGGAGATTGAGTGTTCCCTAGGAAAACCTCAAAAGGAGTAGAAACACTCATTGCCGGAAAGGCCAGGTCGCTGGGGCTCCCTTATGCCAACACTGGCCTCCCTTCAGAAACAAAGTTTCTGCTTGTTTGAAATAACAAGCGCTTAATTACAATTGCGCCAATTATGGGAGCTGCTTGTGTTAACAGAACTGGTGGGGTGTACAAGAAACAGCAGGGGTGTAAGCATCACATTGAATTCTGCCCATTCACTTTCACATGCGCTCAGCATGGAAAGTGGCTCACTTTCTGCCCCAGTTGCTAAGTGGCCAGTCTGCAGGTGCTTTCCTGCAGAAGACATCAGCAAATTCTGTAGTTTCATCAGTTTTTTTTAGTTCTCGCTTACCTGAATCAAGGAAGAGTCATTTGGAATTACATAGAGATGAAGGCTCGCAGTCCTACTCGACTGATACAGCTGCACCACCGAATGAATAGGGAAGAAGTGAAACAGCCGGTACATGCTCTTACACAGCACACCCAAGAAAGAAAATGTAGGATTCTCTAACACCACATGAAATGGACTCATTCGTGTTGGCTCCTCCACAGTCATCCCCACATCAAGGAAATGGGCAATTTTAATCTGAGAAATGTCTGTTTTCCTCCCTGCAAATCGATTATAAAAACAAAAACTTGTAAAATTTCTTCATTATTTGTCTCTTAAGGGGAGCAAGAAGTAACATTCCCTTAGGCTTATTCTTGTATCTAGCAAAAGGAAGATGACAAGGGAGATTGGGACATGCCAGAACTCCTGTAACTTTTTCCCAGAGGCACAGTCACAATGGGATTTAATCTGGTAAAGAGGGAAGAGGAGACAGTGCAGGGACTCGTAACTTCTTGTGTTTCCAGCTCAGCCTGCTATTCTAAACACCAACACACAGTGTCTCGGTAATGCTTCACTGTTCAGTAGGACTGCTGGCAATATTTATTGTAATGCATGAAGAAATTTGATGGACATGACAGTGACACTGACTGACTGGGTGGACCAAATGTCACAAAAGAAGAGGGTAGGCCAAAGGTCATCAAGCAAAACGTCATTTCAGTAGCCCTACTTCTGATGCAGGTGGGAACAGTAACCATTTCTGGATAACCTCCACAACAGAAGCAGAATGGACATACCTTTGAGACAAATAAAAAGGGGCAGATGAATAGTTGCCACTTTGCCTGAAGCATCGGCTTGGATGTTGAACAACGGACCAGCTGCCATCCAGTCCTGCATCTCAGCTTTGCCCAGATGCTGATCCCAGGAGCTGTACATGTATGTGAGAGTCCCACCTGACCTCATCTCAAACTTGAGTTTGGTTACAGAGCACTCAAAGTTGCCTGCCCTGGGGCACTGCATTCTGCATGACACACAAAGAGAAGAGAGGAAAACAACCAACATTTGTTTCTCGGATAGGCATATTCTGATTTTTTACAAATGCACAGTGCAGCAGAAAGGGAATGGTTTTCTGCATAGTATTTGCAGTAGAAAATTTCTTTCAGAGAGAGCAAAGTTTGTTTCATGTGCACTAGAGTAAGTTCAAACCAAAGTCATGCAATTTCAGTTTTGATCGCACAAGCTGGAGGGTCTGGCCTAACAGACTGGCATTTTTGGAGAAAGTTTTTCAGAAGTTTTCAGGTTATGAATATCATTATATGTGTTTTTCACATACATCCCACTCCCAAGCAGTGAGAAGCTTCAAGGGGTCCAGTGCTTACCCAGGACTAACTGGAAATATAAACAGTGTTTCTGTGATTAAAAGTATATGTACGGGCTGAGCATTAGATGATGGCTCACAGTATTAGTACCCAAAGAGAGTTCTGTTGCTTCAGGCACCCAGACCCATAGCAATCCCTTTAAAAAAAAAATCTTGGGACTGAGAGAGTGTTAGAAGAGAAGCTGTGGGGTGATCTTGACAAGCTCCTCAACTTGCAGGATGCGTGGGCATGGATGTGTTGATGCATTCCCTTGAGCATTTCAGCTGTATTTTTACCATCACCATCACCTTTCTATAATGCCTAATAGCCAAAGCTCTCCAGGTGGTTTACAAAAATACATGAAAACAATACAATAAAATACCAAAAATCTTATCAAAAGAAATATTAAAAAAATAAAAACAGCTAAAAAGATGCAGTAATGAATGGCCCTGTGAAAGAAAAACACCTGGGATGGGGAATCCTCTCAAGCTCCCAGCGAAACAAGTATATCTTTAAAAGCCTCGGGATAAAGAGCTGTCTTGATCTGGTGCCCAAAGGTGACAAACACAGCATATGCAACCTAGGCTTACAATACTCCTTGGCTTGGGAAGGCATTGACCTCCAATAATATTGCAGTCAATATGCTTTTCTTGTTTTTGTTTCGGGTGAAGATAAGGGGTGCTGGGGGTTCGAATAGTTCAGTTGCATTAATAGGTGATCTATCCGGGGTTGTGATAGCTACTACTTTGGACTGGTTTATGTCTTAGAATTCTTGTCTTAATGAGCAGAAATGAGTTCTTGTGCCTATTTACTACGGAGCAGCACAATAGCACAGGATGACTCCTGTTGACTTCTTAACATGTAACGCTCAGGATTGCTTAAAGACGTTTCCCAAACATACAGTGCAGTGTGAAACAGGTGAGAGTCCAACTAGCCTTATGCGCCTTTGCCATTCATGTTAAAGCATAGATGTTCTTAATAAGCACCAGGAGATTTGCATTCACAACTGGAGAAATTTTCAAGCTCTACCATTTAGTAGCTTTGCGGAATAAAAAGGACTTTGGTCGGTGCATTTGGTAGATGGTGGGGTGAAGGCAGGGTCCACTACTGCTAAGCACTGAGCCCAAAGAGAAAGAGTGGGTGGAGTGCCTCTTCCATCCTTACTTGTACAACTTCAGCTCCCCTTTAGCATCTAGAACAAGTTCTGGTTTTACCTCTGGAAAATCCTGAAAGAGAGAAAATTGCATTAAAGCCAGTCCTTGGGCTTACATAGTTTGGTTTGGGACCTCAGTAGGACTTAAGCACAATCAAAGTGAAATTATATTTTTAATAAATGTAAACAGAACGACTAGCTAAATAGCATTCTTGCCTCCAGCTGGAAGGCACAGCTATTCTTTCTCACCCATGAGAAAGAAGCAGAGTGTGGAAAAAAGAAGAGCATCTGGGAGGAATTTATTTATTATTCAAACATTTACAGAATAAAATATCCCACTTTTTTGTCTCAAGGAATCCCATATTACTCACAAAGAAAATAAAATGAAGCATAGTCCACACTGAAAACCAATAAATGATTTTACAATAGCAGAATGCCAGCACTCACAAACTAAAATTCGGGATTTAGAGTAGCCAAAACTCCTTTAAAAAATTCTTAAAAGCCTGGGCAAGTATAAAGGTGCTGAAAAGACATCATACTTTCTGCCTGAGGGAAAACCAAAAAGTTCCTGTCTCTGGTCATCACCCACTTCACTTCCAAACCTCTCAGGGAAACCTGGAAAAGATTGTCTGAGGAAGATCTTAAACTCAGCCTGTTTCATGGGGGGGGGGGGGGGGGAACAGCATTTCATCTCTCAGGTTCCAAGCCTTTAAAGTTTAAGCTCAAGCCCTTGAATTCAGAACAGAAATGGACCAGAAATACATGTGATTCTTGAAAGAAACCTGCTAGTCCCTACTACTTAAAAAAAAAAATCAGGTCATTTCCAACATTACCAGCTCTAGATAGATTAACTAGATGTGCCTCCCATTCTCTCTCTAACCTCTGTTTTAATCAATTATTCCTCTCTCTCCTTTTCTAAATGAACATCTCTGGTTTCAACCTCTTTCTTGTAAAACATTACATTTTTGCCTGTGGATCCAAGCAGCAGACTAAAGCTCCTTACCATGTCTTCCTCACATAAATAGCATTTCTCCTCTGCCAGTGGGTCAGGAATCAAGCCCTCTTTACAGCTTTTCCTTCCTATCTCAAAAGAAGAAATATGATTATAGCACAATAGCAAATATACAGACCTTGTCATGATGTACCTAGAGTTTAGTGTCCTAGTTTCTTAGTCGTGCAGAAATTTTGTACCTTACCATTAACACGAGCACATCCGGATCACCAACAACTGTGGAGCTGCACCGTCATTAGTTCTACAGATTTTCTTGTTTTCATTGAGTTTAAATTAGCCCAAATGCTATCCAGCCCAGAAGTGCTGAGATTAAACAAACACTTCAGTTAAAAAAAAGTTTGGATCAACTTTTGCAGTCTCCACATCTTTTATTTCTGTTCCATGTAGACCAGTGAATTTATCTGATTTCATTCTGTGACTGAAACTTTGTGCGTTTCCTTTAACAGTGCAAGTTACCTTATGCCACTGAGTACCCCAAGTTCCCACTCTGTGTGGCTGTTCTTTAAGCAAACAAATAATTCAATGACTGAGAAACAGTGGGGGATGCAGGACCACGGACCTACCCTCTATTTCCTTGATCAGGTGTCCATTTGTTTCTCTTAAAGCCTGGTACAGATAATCTTTCCAGTCTCCGTTCCAGTTGGGCACCGCTGTGTAGAGGGTGTTCATTTTTTCACTGTCTGTGTGCTTGCTCAAGATGATCAAATACAAAATGTGATGGATTGTAACCCGTAGCAGTTGCTTCACAACCTGCTTGATCCCAGTTGCTCTTTCAATTAAAGTTTCCTTCTGCCTCTCAATGAAGTGCCCCTCTGAGAAAGGAAAAAATATTATGGAAAGATGGATCTGGATTGATGGGTTTCTTTTTCTTGCAGGAGCACAAGCTGATCCTTTTTAGTTTTTCCAAAAAGTGCTAGCCCCAGACACTGTGCAGCCTTAAACAGAGCATCACCTAGCTTTGACTCCTCCAATGCTATGGCTCATACTTTAGAAGTCACACCGCACCATTCAGACAACAGTTCCTGCCTTCACCAATCCTCCAAAATCCAACTGTCTTAAAAGTCTACTGCAGTTTTAAAAGTCTACAGTCTTTCAAAAGGCTTTTAAAAGTAAAAGTCTGCTACCAGTTCACTGCATGGCTACATTCCTGATCACCATGTATGGGTGTGAAAGCTGGGCAGTGAAAAAAGCTGACAAGGAGAAAATTGAAGCATTTGAAACATGGTGCTGGAGGAGAGCTTTGCAAGTATGCTGGACTTCCCCTAGGAGCAAAAGTGACAACAAATTGAAGCTGGTGTACCTTGGGCACATCATGAGAAGGCAAGACACCCTGGAGAAGACAATCGCACTGAAGAAAGTTGAAGGCAGAAGAGGAAAAGGAAGACCAAGTACAAGATGGCAAGGAAGGCACAACCTCAGAATGTCAAACCAAAGGACAACTGAGCAGCAATATAAAAGGGTTAAGATCTAAAAGTACTAGAAATAGTCCTTACCAATCTTGGAATAAAAATGTTCTTCACTGGGTGCTGAAAAGGCCCCGATGTAGGTGCCTGCAAGCATTTCCAGGCAGGGCATTCCACAGATGGGGCTCCAACCACCCTCTCTTATCTTTTGGTCTGCCTGCTTGCCTAGAAGTACATGCCCCAAGAAGCAGGGGCTGCAAAATGCTCCAAAACAGCAAGGTACTTTTCAAAAAGATTGAGCATCTTAGGAGAGAGATTTTTTCAAGATCACTTTCCCCCATGAAGTGCCAGTATTATAATGTCTCATGACCACTTATGCATTAGGGTGATCACAAGCCCTAAACCAGGGGAAATCATGAACGAGCAGAGCTACGTACAGGTCAAGTGTAAAGAACCAGTCCATTCTCACATCAATAATTTAAATTTTTCTGGTGCCATCTATTTACCCTCAAGTTCTGCAACAAGGGGTCCATTTGTTTTCTTCAGCACTGTATATAGACGGTCCTTCTGTTTCTTGTTCCATTTTGGCACCAGAGTGTACAACTCTTGCATTTTCTGCTGGTCTGAGCCCTGCATTACCAACGAACATTGATCTTGGAGCCTGCGTAAGATAGCATCAACACTGTGGACTCGATGAATCAGTTCTTCTTGGTGCTTTTCAACAAAATGCTCCTCTAATAAAAGAACACATCAACAGATCACTCACTGCCTTACCAGTTTTAGAATTTATGGGAACTGGAGCTGGTTCCTCAGTGTTCTTCGGCTAGAATGCTTGGGGGCCCTCCATGGCTAAGCTACTGGGATGAAGACATCAATATTAAAAATAGCTTACAGTTTGTCAGCCGAGTGTTGCCTTGTTTGTAGATTATTATCAAATCTTCTGAACCAAGAAACTCTGGGCTATTTAGAGGTTAAATAACCAAAAGTTAGCCTACCACTTGTTGTTCTGCTTACTCTGAGTTGTGTAACCCTTAAACAACCCAGAGTCTCCAGGTTTTAGCATCATGATAGCAACCTAAAAATGCAGCAAATGTGGAGTGTTAATTAAAAATGGGAGTGATTAGCATGCTTGAGGTAACATACTGACACACTCCGATTTCAGCCATTCATGGTTTGAATAACCCACAAATTGCCATTTCATGTGAACCAGGCCAGTGCTTTTGATAAACTTTTCAATTTACTTCTCTAGCAGTGGAATTAGCTTCTAAATTTACCCTCCAGGATTTCAATGATGGGTCTATTTGTTTCTAGCAGCACTTGATACAGCTGGTCTTTCTGTCGCCTGCTCCACTTCCGCTCTAACTGGAATAATGCTTCCACTTTTGCCTTTTCTGTTGCGCAATCAGTGAGAGTCTTGTATTGTTCCTTATTCAGGGCAAGACCACAAAGCCTTCTCAGCGGGAACGGTTTCATTTGCTCAACAAGTTCCTCCCGATGTCTGTCCACAAAATGGCCCCCTGAGAAGAGAAAGATGCAACGAGCACATTTAGGGGATTGTATATGCCCATGTGAAGTGGGAGGGGGCAGACGATCAGGGAACAACTTTCCATGAAATGAGTGACACAGAGGGAGCTGCCGAACTGACTATTAAAAATGAAAAGAAATGATACTCTGAGACAGATTATGGGAAATTTACATAAGTGCCATTGCTAGCTAAACCAGACCTGCACTTTCCCCTCCTTTTAAATAGCTGCTGCAGCGGGTGGAGATTTCATCCGAATTAGTGCAGCCCGATGGATTGATTCTAAGAAAGGTCTTGGACTGTACAGAAATGGATAGACTGACTTTATCGTTGAAGGAGAAAGAGGATACTGATTTCTATCAAATTTGGGACTCTTTTTATAATTGGCTGGAGAAACAGGACTTGGCGTAAATTTAGAGATGTTTTTCAAACTATGATAAACCAACTGGAATTTGATATTAGAATGTTAAAAAATATGTAGTAGGAGGCTGACTCAGTGAATCCAATGCTAATGTTTGTGATGTTTGATGGGTTTTTTTAGTCTTAGTTTAAAAATTTTAATTATATATATATATATATATATATATATATATATATATATATATTAAAAAAAAGGAATTAGTGCAGCCCCAGTAAAAAAAGAAGCCGATCTGATGCCAATAAAAGCTTTCCTCCTGAGGCCAAGAGCAGCTGCTGGGTGGGGTGTGGGAGAACAGAATTAGATAAAAAAAGACCGCATAGAGCCCTGTCCACATGGTACAGTCCAGGCAAAATTCAGAGAATCCTGAGCAGCTGTTTAAAGGGGGAAACCCAATTGTTTCTGAAAATTATTGTCAAGGAAAGCCTGGGATGCCCGAATTTCCTGCTGTCAGTGTGGTGAATACAGCAGCTAGGTGTCACAGCCGTTAAGACACAATGAAGGGGAAGTCGAAGAAAGCAGAGATACCTTGGGAACAATTACAAGAGTAGGAATGTCCTGGCAATCAGGAATGCCGGAGAGGTTCAATGGCACTGCTTCCTGGGGATGGCTGGGCACAACCGTGAGCCAAATGGCCAATCAATAGGAGGGGTGATGGAGAGCTCCAGAACAGATGGAAGTGTGATGCAGTAGTTAGAGCACTGGACTGGGACTCAGGACTCTCCTAAGCTACCTCACAGGGTTGTTGTGAAGATAAAATGGACAGCAGGAGAAGCATGTGAGCTGTCTTGGGTTCCTTGCTTGAGAAGCAAGGGTGGGGTATGAATGCAATAATCAATAGGAGATAAATAAATACCAGTCCCACCTTCTTCCCCACAGTTGCAACTATGCATGGTACAGGGCTGACCCTACCATGATGCAGGGTGAGGTGGCTGACTTAGGCAACTGATTTGGGGTGACACTGAAAGGGTCCTTCAGTCAGTAAATTGTCTTCCTTGTTTTTACATGGACTTCCTGGTCCAAGAGCAGATGCCCGCATGCCCTCCCTTCAAAAGTTTGCAGGCATGTTTGCCAACTTTCCCACGAAAGGGTGCGACTTGAGCGAAGCACTGATCTCCCTCGTGTGATCACCACATGACCCCTGGAGTGTCCTGGTCCCACATGGACAGCTTATGGGTTTCCATCATGTTTGGTGCCTATTTCCTCTTCTGGGTAAGCTGAGGATGCAAGTGCTTTGGGCAGGAGCTGTATGTTAATGGTCCACTTCAACATATTTACCTGCAAGCTGTGCCATGAGCCGCCTGTTTGTTTTCATTAAGATCTGTTTCATCTTATCTTTGTCCTTTGCCGTCCAGCTTGGCACCAGTTCATACAGTTTCCGCATCTGCTGTTGGTCAGGACCTTTCAGATTGGACATTTGCTCACGTGTTATTGTTTCATTCCAGCACAGAGAAACTACAAGAAGATCCACACCAACTACACGTTGAATCAGCTCCTCCTGGTGTCTCTCAATGAAGTGCTCCTCTAAGAAGAGATGTAAGAAAAATAGATACTAGTTCATGTAGCCTTAATCAGGGTACAAGACAGGTCCAGGAGGCCCTATCCAGCAATCCAGGCTTCCTCAGATGATTCCTTCCCTATTAATTTGGCAGCTTCCTGGCTTTTTGTGCAGCTTTTATCCCATATGAAGAGCCTGTCCTAAGGTTTAATTATCAGCAGTGAAAGCTGTAAGCAAAAATATGCTATATTTTGGACCTGCCCATTTGGCCTTTAGTCCTGCCTGCTCACAGTCCCTGAAAGCTTCTCCAAAACAGATTCCATCCCTTGGTTTGAGAGGTTAACCCCCTGACCTAAGGTCAAAATAGACCATCTGGCCCATTTTAACAAGGCCAAAGTTTTAGGAAGGCTGATCAAGAGCACATTGGATCCAAAGTGAAGCACTTTAACAGCCCATTCCTTAACTCAAGGTCCCTGAAGCTGTTTTATATCTATAGTACAGATGAAGCAGTGATAAAGCAACAGCCATGCAAACAAAATGGCCACATCCTGACAAAACAGGGGGATATGTGCATCCCTTCTAATCGCTCATGTAATCATTACAAATGCTGTGTACTGCACATGTGAGATCATTTTCAGGACACTCATTTTCTGCACTAGGCCTGCATGCTTCAAAACCAAACATGTCCAAGGATGTAGAGTAGGTGGGTGAGATAAGCAGAAAACCACTATTTTCATATATCACTTTTTGAAAACTGATTTCCCATGAATGTAGTGTTGGTTTACCCTCCAGTTGTGCAATTAGGAGTCTGTTGGTTTCCTGTAGCACCTGGTACAGATGGTCTTTGCATTCTCTTTTCCATATTGGAACCAACTTGTATAGCTTGTGCATTCTCAAAACATCCATGGGCTCGGACATGATTGCTTTGTATTGACCATGATTCAGTGCAACACCAACAAGCCTCTCCAAGACTTCGGGTACCTGAGAGACCTGCTCTGTCAGCTCATCCTGATGTTGTTCCACAAAGTGTTTCTCTGTAAAACAAGAGGCTGAAATAAGTCTTCTGCCTGCTCTGTCAGGAATGGGAAATGGAAGCTTTCATTAGCAGCACCTTCATCAGATCCCTGCATGGGTTGTTTGACCCCCAAGGAACTAAAGGGAAACGAGCCACCAAACACTTAATTACTTAATAATGTGAGTGATTGAACCCACTTGGCTTACTTTCAGCGTGTCTGATTGTGACAGGAACTAATTCTCAATCTGTCGTTTATTATCTTTCCTCTTTGGTATTTTATATGCAAGATTTGTTGCATATCTATTCTTAAAATGTCCCTCTTTCCCCCTGACTTCTGAGTTTCTTTTGCAAAGTACTGCTTATCTGCAATTACTTAATTCTTCTGCCTATTTATGTTATATGATACAGGCTTCATTTTATCTTACTCATTGCTCAGCAGGGTTCATATGACACAAGCCATATTCAGAATGGCAGCTAACAAGGGATACTGCCCCCCACATGTAAATTAACACACAAAGGGTTCTTATGTCATCCTAACCTGCCCATGGTTTGATTACATTTCTTCTAGATCAAGCAAGGCTGTATGCAGCCTTCCCAAATGCTCTCTTATGCA